CCAAGAAAGCGGCCGTTCACGTCAGGAATCAAGGTTGTTGATGTAGTTGCTATTCTTTCTTTTTTTCGTCTCGATTGGGTTGGTGTTCAGTGTACCGCTCCGTGGGTACAAGATCGAAAAGAATGCATTGGATGGATGCCCGGGCATTGAGAAGGAAGGACGCTTTCAGAGGCGAAAAGCCATGGGGAGATACCGTCTGATAGATGGGGGCAATCATCTGCGCCAGTGTATAGTAAAAAAATAAATTGAAAATTATTACAGTAGCGAGGAGAGCTTATGGACAAAAAATGAGGATTCCGGCGGCTTTTGCCACTTATGATCAGTGTTCACAAGAGCGGGACGGTTCAATGTCTTACAATGTTCAAGCAGCATTCTTGTCGGAAGGATTTTCCCGGGCACCTTCCGAACATCCCTGAAGGATAGAACAACATGATGAAGAAGGCGGCGAAGGTATGGAGGAAAATTTTGAAAGAGAACAAGGAGATCCCTGAAAAGGGGGAGACAAGGAAGTAGTAGAAATGTTGAAGAGGGGACAACCCGCTCTTTACTTTTCAGGGAGGCTGCCCCTCCCTTCTTGCCTATCCTGGACCCCTTCGTGAGTCCTCCTGGTTTGGAAGCTTAGTGAGAGCTCTTACCTCATGGTAGCTCTGGGAGCTGCATGCTAGCGTTTATTGAGGGAGTTGGAAAGAGCATTTGCGGTTGAATCGGAATCGATTTCGGATGAATCCAAGGGGGTGCTTTACGCTAAGGAGAGGATACCGTCTTGTAGTTGCGGAGTTGTCTGGGATGAACGCTTTCCTTCTTTCCAAGGGTGCTCAAGGAGTCTATCAAGGCATAAATCGATATATGAAGCTGGGAACTTACCAATCATAACAAATAGCCTTAGGTTGCTTATTTCCTGAGAGTTTCAGTTTTTGTTCGGTTAGGCTATCTGGGGGAGGCAACTCTTCTAATAGTAATAGACACCGATGCTATTTTTCTACTACTATTAGATAATATTAGATTGACGAAATTCCTTGTTTACACGTGGCTAGGTCGCTGATTGAGAAGAACTACCGCTGAGATGTCTCAGATAGAGAGAGAGGGTTGGTCCCCGTCTTTCGTGTTTAAGATGCCTTAGGACTAGTAATGAAGCACAAAGCTAAAAAGGAAGTGGGAAAGCGCCCGACTGCGAAGCTGACAGAATTTTTTCAATCTACGAGTACGAGTAGCAAAGGGGGTACCCCAGGGGAATGTGAAATGTGGAATGAATCAGGAAGTCGCCCTTTTGTTAAAATTCCTTCTCCTCTCTTTCAGATTTCAGACCCTTGTCTTCGATTTCTGCCAAAAGATCTTTACTGTATATCCAATCTTGGATCTTGGACTGGCCGCATTCCCATTTATATTATCAAATATAGGTAAGGCCAACCCGCCCCTTCATCATTTCATTTTTTGTAACGAGAATATATATTGGTACGAAGCGCAAGTACTTAGCTTAGAGCCCTGAGCTCCTCGGATCGGAAGAAGACCAAACTGCGAAAGGAGAAGCCCTCTTCAGAACCCATACCCTAAGTCGATTCTTTTTCTTTTATTTATTCAGAATGAGCCGCTGACACTTGCTTGCGCATGAACATCATGAACATGCGGTAGACTTCTCGGAGGTGCCAGTAAGGCTAAGGCGGCTCTGGCTGCATTTGCCAAATCCAAGGGCTGAGGGGTGCCCACTGGTCTACAGCATATGATGCGGGTTATTGCCCATGCTTTTTTGTTTATAGAGATCGACTAGAAGAGAAAACCACTTATACTGCCTACTCTATTCCTAAAGGAAGAGAATTCATTCCCATTCCTTAGAACAATAAACAGCTTCCATTGAGTCTCTAAATGAAAATGAATGAGTCTCTGAAGCTACCCTCACTCAATGCGAAGAACTCTCCGCCCAAAGCTTTCCTTTCCCGGAGCGAGCCCTACCCGGAGCAGACAACTCTTGATCTTGACTGGCAACGGAATTCGCGGCACTCACTTTCCTGGGCCTTCGATCGATCTTTTGTGGGAGAAGTCTCTTAGTACGGGATAGAAGGGGCAGCTGCTGTGGGAGTAAGCATAAACAAGCAGTAAGCCAACCACCGATCTATCTCAATGCCATCGGCAAGCTGCTACCTCGGGGCTATTATCCCGGGTTGTTCTAAGACTGAGACAGAGAATAATGAATTCGAATATGCTATAATAAGAACACTTATTAAATCCGGATCTATTTTAAACAAGGTGACACCTTTCCGGCAACTACTCCCGGGCAAACTGCAACTACCTTCGAATAGGTTCTTTCTCTAAAGTCAGGGTTCGCATAATCTGATAAAGAAGGAAGGGGATTTATTCTCTTACTCACCGGGTTAGGGTTTTCTCTCTTGTCGAAATGCTAGTTTCATATTAGACTTTCAAGCTGCGGCTACCCGGGTTTTCTTTATATAGCTATCCCGCAACTAATCCTAAAACAGCTTCTGCAGATATAGGATAAATAGAAGATAGAGTGAAAGAAGTCTTTATCTCTGTACCATCCCTCTACAGACTGACTTGAGATAAAGAAGAAAGAGAAAGACTTTCTGCGACAACTCCTATTACTACTGGGGTAGCTCCCGAACCTTCTTAAACTTCTTCCCCGGATTTCTTCGAGACTTCAACTTCACTTCTCAATCGTCTAAAAGAAAAGGTGGTCTGTTCCTGGTAAAGGTATTTTTCTATTCACTGGACACCCACTGAAACGACCTCTATAGTTTAGGGCTCAAACGGCGGCTCTGTCCTACCTTACTTCTCAACCAAACCAGATTAAGCAAAGCACGCAAAGACGTCCACTGTCTATTCATGTTATTCTTTTATCCTCAAGCGGCGGTGGGGCCTATTGATTCGGGGGCATCAAAGACAGATCTTATGGCGAGATCGAGGAAGTGTGGTGTGGTGGGCGAAGCGCTAGTGCCCTATATATAAGGCGCTTGCCTCTCTTGTTTGAACTACTTGATAATTAGACTTTCGCGGAGATGCCTGGTATAGATACCTTCTTACTACATTCTCAGACGGACTTTTTTTCTAATTGTTTTGAATTCACTTGACAGAGATGCCAGGGCAAGCTCACTTGGAGTGATAGACCTTGTTTTCCCGCTTTAACTAGGAATAAAGAGGCATGGCATCTATTGAACCTGGAGACTGAACTAGGTATGATTAACTTTCCCCTACTGCGACTACAGCTACAACGACATTTTATATTGGATAAACTGCGGCTACTGCCGAAGAAACTTCCGTACCTTATTGTGAGAGTTCCGATGATTTGGCTGAGGTGAGCTAACGAATTCCTAGTTGAAACTTCACTTGACACAGTCTTCGTTCACATAGTAGAAGAGGTAGAGGGATTGCTTCTTGACTGAAAGTCTTATATCCGAACAACTAGGTTGAGCTTGAAAGCTTAAGGTGAACCATAGTTAAGGGAATCTATCTTTACTTACTTCCCGGCAAAGAAAAGGAGAAAGAGGTGCCCTATCTGCAGGTGCTTCACCCGATGACTTAAGGCGTCTTGGCCCAGGCCTTATCCTATTTATTTGGCATTCAACTTCAAAGCTAAGTGGTAAAGGCACGGAATCCGATATCCGATAAACTAGGCCACTTCTCTTACGATCACTGATGACTCAACCGCGAAGAATGAGGAATTCAAGATTTGGTGGCAGACCTCCAAATCTTGTATCTTTGTAGGAATTCAAGCCCATGATATAACATTTTCTTGTAAGAAAGCCGTTGATAACGAATTGGTAACCCCTGGTCGGAGCGGGTAGGAGCCGAATAGATGGGAATGAAGTTCCTTTACAGCTCCGGAAAGGAGGCTTGTGCCACTAAGGGGTTGCCGCTTATTCAAGTGACGGGGCAAATGCCCTATTAATTGAATCTAAGTCAAGCTTATCCTCTAATGCCTGGGAAGCTATTCCATCTGTAGTATCGCTGGAGGAAAGCTAATAAGTACAGTTGCAGTCCGCTTTAAGCGGTTGGTTAGCTATTATACAATTTGAAAAAGCTTATTAAAGAAGTAACCTTAATAGTTTTACTATACAGGGAGCTGAGACTTTTAGATGGTGCATAAGCACTGGGGAATGCTTAATGGCATTCAAACTTGCAGGAAAAACACCAGCTCTTATCAATATTCCTTCCTAGGGAAACAGCCCAAGAGCATACTTTTAAACTGGCTTGTTATAACCTGCTTTCCTAAGAGGTACTTCGCTAGCTCGCTTTCAAATTGGTAAGATCATATTATAAACTATTAAAGGCAAAGACTCCAAGGAAATAGATCCTCATTCATGGGCTAGCATTTCTTTACAGTGGGGAACACTATCTATGGATAGAGCTTAGTTAATTAGAGAATTCAAAAGTAGCTCGCCTTTAGTCAGCTAGTACAAGAAAGTGGAGACTCAATGAACTGCATAAAAGTCCTGATATCTCGTTGTAATCCCAAGCATGCAATCCCTAAACTCCATGAGTTGCCCACTTCTCAGAAGAACAGTTGATCGTACTACTCATTCATGTTGGCAGTCACTCTCATGGATTTCTCATAGAAGATCCTTATTCTTGATAGCACTGGTAAGGGACGATTCTCAGTGCCAACCTATCCCCAATCACACTGAATGCTTACTTACCAATCCTTTCTCAGAGAATTCCTCGTGCATCAAAAAACTTCTAGTAAAGTGAAGGAGACCCACTTCGCATGGAGAAGTTCAAAGCTTCCATGAGTAGTCGGATGGACATGCTTGCCAATCTTGAGTTGTCATCGGGTAGGGCATGATTACAGCGAGTGTTCGCATGACTTGGGACAAACCTCTAGAGTCTTCTCCTCCTTGCCGCTGCTGGTTAGGGGCAATCGACCGATCCACATTTGTTGATACGTATATGGATAGATAGATAGCGACTCTTCCTCTCTCCTGCTAGTAAATAAACTATGGAAATGCACCGGCATGTTTTTTCCCTATCTTAAATTGTTGTCAACCTCCCTACTAACCATAATCTGTAGGATAGTAATCTGTAGGATTGTACACGACAACCTTACCCTCATAGTCCAGAGCAACCATCCTATTGCGACAATAGAGAGGCTCTAGCCCTGGTTCTTTATACTCGATTGAACAAGACAGCCCGAGATCTTGTATCATATCAAATACTTGATATTCATCGATTCTTAGATCATCAGTACATGCTATAAAGACCATACCTATGAATCTTTCAAATGCAATCCCTGGATATTTATGGCTGAACTGCCGGTCGAACTCCATTAAGGTAAGATTGAATAAGACCCTATTGATTTCTCCAACAATTGGCATACAACCGAAGCATATCTTTCTACCATCCTCATCAAAGGTCTCGAGATTTAGAAAGCTACTAACCAGCTTATAACAAACCGAATCTGCCCCAACAAAGGACTTAACACCATCTAAAACCAGACTCTCAGGAATCAGTTGTAATGATGGATCCATGTTAATCTGGTACAGTCTACTCACCTTACCCATGTTTTGAATACCAGAATAAAAGAGACCTAACCTATCTAATAATCTGTAATTCTCCTTGGGCACATAACCATAAGTCAAACGATAGAAATGGATACTCAATGCCATGAACACCAAGACATCCTCATTTTTTGATGGAAAAACAACTATATAGTGTGAACTATCTCTGCTTGGATAAAACGTTAAGTCAGGAAAATCAGGTAGCGTTGCAAATAAAAATTCTAGTAGATCATCCCTACTTATTCTCCTGAGCCTTAGCGGAGATAGAGTGTAAAAACCTGAAAGCAATATCTGTTGAAGATTACATAACTCTTTCTTAGATAGATTATATTTCTGAGTGCTTTTTAAATCATTATACAGAAAATCAATATCCTCTGATAGCTGAACTAGCAAACTAGAAATTGTAGAATAATAAGAAGATCTTGCACATATCATAGTCAACTTATAAGAAGATTTGGATTGAATTGTTTCTTGTTTGTTTTTCATCTTTTTACTATTATTTCTTGTAATTCAAGAATTACAAGAAATAACATTTTACTGGGAAGCGTACTGTTCCTCTACAAAGACAACAGACGCTCTCAACGGCTAGGCGCGCCATCAACAGACATACTCGCGAAGAAAGCACCTACCCTGGTGGAACTTAACTGCCTCGATCCTCATCTCGTTCACTCACAGAAGACCTTGCCTAGCTCTACTTTCTTTCTTATACCAGGAAGCCTTTCGCTTGTCCCTTCGCACGTGAATCTTGATATCCCGGCTAGAGAGCTTTGATTTCTTCTTTCCTTGGGGTTCCTTCCCTCACTTGTTACTAGCAGCTCTTCCTTTACACCTGAGAACAACCTATTCTTTTCACAGCGGAAGAGTCGAAACGAAGACCGCAGAAAGCATAGTCAGAAGCCGCATCGGCAGTTCGCGTTGACGGCGTTAACAGAATCGGAGAATAAGAGCTTAACGCAGCTCGACCCTCGGGAACAGATTCATAGGACCGATATCTCAGCTCATATCGGCCGTTTTAAGCCAACTAATCGGCCAAGAGCGTTTCTTTTGAATTGGCACTGGACTGACATCTGGAAAGCTTATGACATGGTGAGATGGTGCTCTAAAGTTGAGCAACAGCAACTTTCCTTCTAAGTTGATTGTATCTTCACATGCCTGATAACTACAAAGAAAGAAAGTACTCTAACTAATGGTCTTCTTGAGAGGGTTGGATGGCCATAGAGGCAAAAGGCAAGGATTCCATTCGTCTTTTTTTGTCCTAGTCATGGAGGTTCTGGCTTTCTTTCTTAGTTTGACTAGCCATTGATTGACGGAATTTCTAAATCAAGAATTTAGAACGTTCTTAGGATTGTTAACTTATACTCAGACGCCTTGATCTAGTTGTTGCCACCTGTCTATCGAAGGGGGATTTCCCAGCCTATCTCGGTATATGTTACCGAAAGAAGGAAGAAGAATCTAATGATTTCCCTAATTCTGTGAGAAAGAAAAACCAGTTTGTTAGAGCTGGGGCAGAGAAGCAATCAACAGAATGGGTCCCTGTTGTTCACAAGTGAAGGCACTGAACGGATCAAGATCTCGTAAATTCATTGTCTTTATTGATTCAAATCAGAAAGAACTTCTTTCGCTATTGAAGCCATGCCTGAGCTGTCAGCTTATTAGCATCCCTCTTCTGCGTTAGGAATTGTCCGAAAAGGTTCGATTGAATCCCATGCTTTCATGGTCCCTATCTCTGCCCCGGCACTGGCCGACACGTAGGTCTATTCCGCGCTTTCCTAGGTGCGCATCTCCATCTACTAAAAGTAGGGGTGGTTGCCATAGATAGATTGGGTCATTCGTAACCAGAGCAATAACCGATGCTACAGCATAAACTAAAGCTATACGTGGCGGCCCCTAAAGGCGTAACTGACAGGTTCTGTTTTATCTGCCCATCCGAGTCATCCCGTACTCCAAAAAAGCAGAGGTGAGGTCCGGAGAGTGGGACGGATCTGCCTGGCCAAGGTGCCAATGTCAAGTGGTTATCCGAAGTGTTGGAATATGCTCTACCTACGGTACTGCAGCAGTACTCATAGTGAAAGGTCAGCGGGGGGCATAGCGAAATTCCTCACCGAGATGACTGGACAACCTATCGACCAGATCGCACCAGCGGAGCAATTCAAAGCCTCTTTGGAGCGAATTCCTTTGAAGTAGTTAGTGCTCTAATTGAGTGAGCCGTGGATCATAAATGATGAGCGTAGCTTAATTTAGCTGATCTCACACCGAACTATAAATAAATAAGTGAGTGGCTCTTTATAGCCCAATGGCTACCACCGGAAGTGCGCTAAGTTAGTCACAGGGGAACCCCAAGTTCTTTCTCCGACTCTATAAAATAAACTTGGATGGCTTGCTTGCTTGTTTAGCTTGCCCCCTCTTTGAATGTGTACAATTCGAGCAAGCAAATGGCTAGCAGGGCCGAGGAACCACAATGAACGGGACGACAGAAGTTCCACAAGAATATGACCAGAGAGATATGTTCTTCTTCGTGCATGCAGGTCTGGTTCCTGAGAAAACAGATATCTATTAGCGAGTTTCGCCGTACAATATATAACCCGGGACTGGCTGAAATGAATGAATTCTCATGGTTTCCGCCGGCTAATAGGGCGAGCAGCGTAATGGGGGCGGACGACGTGAGTGAGAGCCCAGACCATAGCGGCTTTAGAGACTTCTCTCTCGGCGACGAAAACGTTCTCCGGGAGGCTTTCCTTTCTGCTTTACTGTGATTTACCCATAACCATCAGCGGCAAGGATTATGGAAGAGGCCAAACCAACCCAGGTACACCACAAGTAGATACGGTTGGAGTAGCAGATCCTATAGAAACAAAGACAAAGCCCGAGGCAGATCCAGACGCGTACCTAGGTGGCGCAGCATCCCTTCGAGTTGCTTGCCACCCCTTTTATCCTTTCTCCCTCCTCCGGTCGCCTCGTTACCTTTTTTGCTTTCTCACATTGACTTATTTCCGCTTTTTCACTTCTTTTCCTTTGATTCAGCTGTATTAGTAGCTGATGATTCCTTTTTTCTAAGTGTGTCCGATTGGTATCACTCGCATAAGACTTTTCCTTTATTTGTAGCGGCCATGTGGCATAGTCCATCTTTTCCTTCTATTTTTCCCTCAAAATAGAATATATACTTGCCTTTGTACTGATTTGAATATATGTAGGAAGGCTTAGTGGAAGGGCGGCACCCTCTTCAGAGGTGCCCGAGGGGCACGGTCTCTGTCTTTGACTTGGCCTTCGGCCTTGAGAACACAATGATTTCGGACTTTCTCTTTTCCGAGCCTTACTAGGCGCGTTTGCGCGCGCGTGAACCAACCCAACAAACAAGGAAAGGATGCCTCTCGGGGCATCTGAGAATGATTCGAGCCGTATGAAGGGAAACTCTCACGTACAGTTTCTTTTTTTGGGGGGGAAGGAGCCCGACAGGGTCCCCCCACTGACTTGGCCCGGGCCTAAGTGAAAGTGAAGTGGTGGGCCTACCCATCCCAACCAGGGGTATGCTGGGATTCGCGAAGAGCAGCACCTTACGATGTTCATGACCAATCGGATCCTGACGTACCAGTAGGTACCAGAGGAGATCGCTATGATCGTTACTGTATTCGTATCGAAGAGATGCGACAAAGTGTTCGGATCATTGTGCAATGTCCTAATCAAATGCCTAGTGGAATGATCAAAGCCGATGATCGTAAGCTATGTCCTCCATCACGATCTCGAATGAAACTATCCATGGAATCGTGCGCCGTGTGAAACATAGGTCATCGCCGTTCTTAACCGAGACTCAGGTTAAGCTCATAGCAACAAGCCGGATTAGTGAAAACTCTGTCAAGCCTCGCCCAAACAAAGCCCCCACTCTTGCTTATTCGACCAGGTTTTCTGCCGCAGTCAATGATGCCACAATCATTAATCATTGCATTGAATTCCTACAAAGATACAAGATTTGGAGGTCTGCCACCAAGTTTTTCAGACACATCTGAAATGGCGTTAAAATCACCCGCAACCCTCCATGGACCTTGTATGTCTTAGGACAGTAATGGAAGTTTTTCCCAAAGAATTGAATGGAGCACTTTGCATAAAGAAAGGTAAGCCTTACCAGATCAGAATTAAGGAAGCTGGTGTCGACTGTGATACACTGTTCAAAGGCGTCGACAAGCACTACATTCACTTCATGATTCCAACAGATCCATCTTTTATCATCTGCCTCTTGATTTGCCAATGAAAAGTGGAAACCAATTCTGTTGGAGAATTACTGAATCTTATTAGCATGGTAAAGAGGTTCAAGAATAGCAATCAACGATATATTATACTACACCTTCTTTATTTTCTATTTTATGTTGCCTATGCCTCTGATATTTCACAAGAGATTATTAATCATGGCTAACAATGGAAGAAGTTTAAGAAGAACGAGCCAACGCTCTAGTAATCCTTCTGGAGCTCTTAAAGTTCGATTCTTCTACTTTTACAGATGTATCTGGCTGCTCTCCTTGTAGGATTCAGAAGCTTTCTATTTCTGGGCACAGTCAGTGTTCTTGAATATCGAAGCATAAGACTTTATAGAAGAATTCCTGAAAAAAAAAAATTCCTGCAAAGCAAAGAAGTGTTTGCTTCTCTCATAGGTTCAGAGTCCTATAAGTATCCCTTAGTCTGAGCAGCTTGTTCCTTTGGAACGTTAGCATCATATCTTTGGATTTAAGTCAAACAAGGGATATATTAGACTCCATCTTGTTTATGAGTTCATGATCAGGCTGAGAGAAAATAGGCATAATAGCATAGCCTGAATACTAGAATTATCAACATTGGAATTGTTAGCAGCCAAAGATGAGTCAATGGCATCTACTATTACCTGATGAGAAGAATCCACCCTCAACTGAGAATCATGAGAAGCAGTACTGGTTGAAGGATCGGCAGAAATCTGTATGTGCTGAGAAGTCTTTTTATTATTTATTAAAATAAAAAGATTCTGCTCCGTCTGATTGTCCGCAGTCTTTTTTGGAAGATTATATGTATTCTCAAAAGATGATTGGATGGTCTTGCCCGTTGGCCTGTAGACTTGACGTGGGGGAGCTTTTCCTCCTTGACCTTGTGAAGATTTTTTCCTATAGGCATTAGAGTTAGGAGCTGACGGCTGCTGGTTGGGCTTCTCTTTGTTGGCTGCATCAGTTGTACTTGACTTTTTCGAACGAAGTTTGAAGTTTTACTTTGAATAACCTTGTTTGGAACAAGACGTGCAATATCGTTCCGTGGGGTCTTTCTCATAGACGATTTTATGCCATCTTCCTTCGTTTTTCCCATGCCTAACCAGACCCTATTAGGTTAGGCTTTTTCTTCAGAAGATCCACCTCAACGCATACCCTTGCGACACCGGGTCGAGATGGGGGTCGGACCATCCGATTAATAGCACTTTGCCTACTACGTTAGCAATAGTAGTAGTCTTGAAAAAAAAAGATCGGAAGATTCGGAAACGGAATCCACATATTAACGAATCTGAAGAGATAATCTTTGATGTACGTTGCATCTTTCAACCAAAGCTTAATGGTTTCTTCTGGAAATGTTGGAATAGATCTCAGAGTAAAAAATTTGTACATTTGAGTAATGCAAACAATCCTTTTTTTGGAGCTGACGCTCTTTTTTTTGTTGGTTCATAGTCCACACGGGGTTCTGGTCTTTTTACTTTATGTTCCGGATAAAATTGATCCCTCGATCAAGTCCTAACTAGAAATCTCTTAAGAAAAGACGAGAAATCGTTTGGATTCGAGGCGAAAGCCTTCCCCGCCGTTACGGAGTTCTTCTGCTCTAATCTCCGAAATCGAAGGACTTCATACGGGCTGAGGACTTAGTATTGATTCATGCAAAGATGCTCCTCTAAAGCTGGAATAAGGGATTGCCCACTTCACCGCCCCGAAGAGCAGTGGCTCTGTTGTTTTGCGCGCCTACGGAGAGAGACTCAAAAAGTACCGACGCTCAATCGAAAGAAAGATAAATCCACTATATGCTTAACTCATGCCCCAGGAATCCCGGGGGTACGAACTAATTTTTTACTGGAGGGAAGGCTGGGGAAAAGCATAGAGCGTGCGGGCTCAGCTCTCGCACTCCTCCCATCCGCGAAGCTGAGGCGGGAGAAAAAGCATAACTCCCCGGTCTCATAGGTTACCTTTCGATCTTCCTCCCCCGTGACGCTCCCAAATCGATCGCTATCCTTTTCTTGCTTTCTTGTTGTCTTGAATTGTTATAGAGCGGCTTTATATCAGGTATAGTTGGTAGGATGAAGTGGGATGAAGCCTTAGTGGGTATAGCAAGTGTGACGGGGAGGCGGCTCGGGCGTAGTGGGTCTGGACGCCTAGCACGAAAGAGCCTTCTCTGGTAGCGGCACTATACCTTAGTCTCTCTCTAGCTTCCAGTCTATATAAAACGTAGTTAGCAGAGGTCAGTCTGTCTGGCGTTCCCTCGCGTCAAGGGCTACTTTTGCATCGGCTCTCTCTCGTTCTCGTTAGGGAATTCCCGAGGTGAAAGCAGCTCTCTCGGAAGTAAGTTTCCCCGCTGGGACTAGTCTAAGAAACTTTCACTTGAATTGCCAAGCCTCTTGTGGTAACGCCCTTGACGAATTGCGTTCAACGTCCCTTTATGACTTTCCCGATCGGCGCCCCGGGTCGGTAGCCGGGCTCCGGGACATTACTACCACGGCGACTATCGCCCCGAGCCCAAAGAAGGAAAAAAACGAACGGACTAAAGCGAGGAGTTCATTGGCCATACATAGTTAAGGAGGATGGGGGCCAACCTCTTTCATGACCCATGGCCCCAGTGTGTCACTTGGTTAGCATTTCTAGAAAAAATGGAGACAGAGAGTCAGGCTAGTTTTTCGATAGGGAAAGAGACAGGGGAGTTGGCTGTAATGGAGACAATTCGGATGGACGATATGGATTTATTCGAGATTGTTAACCACTTTTTTAACCGTGAGAGGGAGGTCATTCAGAACCCGCTGGCTCCAGAACGGGGGGCGGCTCCAGAGGTGCCTCTCCCCATTCAATAGGCTAAGCCTATCCCTTCGATTTCTGTTTCAAAGATCACTTTTATCAGGCCGGAATAAAAAAACCACTTCTCATTCTGGAGCGGTAAAGTCAATAGCATTCAAAACCGTCAGGATTAGAACGGATAGAACGGTAACCGAAGGAGCCCATTTCTGTTCCTTCGCCTTTCTTTCATTTCATTAGAAAGTTCCTTCTTTTTGTTACCCGGCTTTGATGAGATAGGATCGGAAAAAGGTCTGACTCTATGGTAGCCGACTTGATTGAATTTCCCTTAACGAGCTACGAATCTAATATGGTTACGGGCTTCCTGCTCTAAGAGTGGGTTCCTTGCCCCTGTCTCCCATAAAAGAAGAAGAAGCCAAGACTAACTTCATTTAGTTGTGAAATATTTATATTCTGCCTTAACCATGCCAACCCTGTCAAAAAGATTATCCAACGGAAACTGATGATTTTTCTCGGATGTGAAGGCTTAGGCTTCCATCTTCACTCTAAGTGAGCAGGTCAAAGCAGTTGAGGTGATAGCAATAGTAAGCAGGGAAGCAGAAGCAAAAGGTCTTCAAAGAACTTTTGTGTAATAAAGCTTCTTGGTCTCATTTCATTGGTCTCTAAGGCAAAGTCTCGCTTAATCGTTCATCGATCTTTTTCTGTAAGGTCTCGGGCCCCACGAATTCCGATTTCTGTTTTTGTTTGTATTAAAGTGTTGGTAGCTTCTAGCCTCGAGCTGGAAAGTCTCATCGGCGGGGGTACTATAGATATATCATAACTCTCTAATTGAGACTCAATCTATACAATCAATCAATCAGTATGTGCAATATACCGGTCTTTGCGATATGCTCTTTCAAATAGATCACAGATCTTCCCGCTTAGCTGCACTGCTCTCTGAGCTCTTTTGTCCGCTATCGCTTCCTCTAGTACTAGCTCTGATCTCTCTTCAGCAGTTGCAGTACGATTCTTTAATTCATCTCCTGCCCTTTATAGTCGTAATCGCTAGAAACTCTATATCATTGGCAATTGGCATTGGCGTAATCTTTTTTCTCCTGTCGGAAGGGGGTCCTGTCGAAAGCTAGAAAAGGCATTGCAAATGGCGTGCCCTTACTCTAATTCTAAATAAAGCTCTTTTGCGCTCTTGGTCAGGCCTGTAACAAGTATCTAAAAAATCTTTTCTTTTCGGCCTATGGTTCGGTCAAAGCAATGACTTGAGTGAGTAAGGAAGTAGGACCTTTTTACCCCGGCTGTGAGTTATTACTGACCCCTCTCTGTCTCTCCCCCGCGCTGTGAATGAAGTGAGTAATTCGTTGGTGCTTGCCCTTCAGTAAGTAGTTCAGATGGCTGGATACATGCTACGCTCTGCCACGCTTGCCTGACCGCGAGAAGCCTTAGGGTAAAATAATATTGAACAGCAATTTGAGAGCATCTTTGGAATTGAAAGAAGGGGCTAACCTGACTTTCACTTTCATAAAAAGAGAAAACTGGACTTGCACTTTAAGAAATGGAATTGCGATGAGCCAGAAGTTAGAATCTCGCCTAACCACCTGTCTCCGTCTCCCGTAGTTCCCCCCAGAAACATCCGTTTGCCTACTTCTACTCTGGCCGGGGGTAACAGTCTTTTTGAGAACCAAGTGGCCCTTGAGGAAGACCTTCAGAAAACCCCTCTAACTCGGGGAAAGGAATTCAAGCCCATAAAATGAGTCAAGTCTATGATAGGTACCAAGGGTTCTCAGGATAAAGACAGCCTTAAGGTGCTAACAGAGCTTCCACGGTCTCAGTCCATGAAGGTGCTTGCTTTATTGGTTGGCAGCTTGGTTATAGTCGTTATGAAGAATGAAGGAGCGACGAATGAGCTCACTTCCACGACATGGGAAAGGATCATGGGATGAGGAAAAGAAAGAAAAGGTGCAAGGTGAGGAGATATCGAGAGGTAGAATAGGTGAAATGAGTTCAAAGGAATTAGTTAAGACACGCTTATTTAGCACAGGCCACAGAGTGAAGTTGGAAGGTTCAATGAACTACGCGAAGGGGAAATCTTGGGCGCTATTGTTGTCTATATACAAGTGGCGTAGGCGAAGCTATGGCGACTCGTGGAGTAGACAGCGAGCTCCGCTTGAACAGAAAGCAGCAAGCTGCAAGCACTACTCCAAAAGCAGTGAGCTCCGCAACAAAAGCGAAGCGAGCCGCGGTAGCCTATTAAGTTTTTCAGCTGCATCGTACCGTACTATGGGAGGGGTCCGTACCTCATTTAGATAGAGCCCCCCTGCTCCTAATGTAGAGCTAGAACTACTGCTACCGTGGAATCCGCGGTCACACATAAGTATCTCGCCTTCCAAAAAAAGCGGCTGCTAATTAGCACTAATGCTAATGGGGACCATCGATCAAGAAGGACTTCGGAGACTGCAATCGAATTGATCAAAAAAGAGAAATAGGGCCAACTCTTCTAGTTGCGCCTCTAACCTTACTACGCTACCCTGATAAAAGGTCGAATTCAGCAGGACTGCAGGCACGAAATGCCGATCAAATCCGTTAAAGGAAGCCTAATCAAAGCGGGCAAACAAGAAGATCTGACTGAGTTGATGATGGACCGGATCTCGAAAGGCGAGAGGCTTTCATAAAGACGTATGAGAAACGGAGGGTCGAGAGAGGCTTATTGCACGATCCACCCAACCGCTAATAAATGCTGCATAAGATAAGAGAGTGGGAGGCCGACCCCCGCCCATCTGGAGGTGCACACCCATTTATGAACATATACAAAGGGCTAAAGAGAGAAGTCCATGGAGAACTACCAAATCCAATGACTTTGATTTGTTCGTACCATTCTGTCATCGATCACTGCTGGGTCGGTTGGTGAGTCACCCAAAAAAAGCATCGAGAAAGGTCAAGCATATATGTTTTATGAAATGATCAGCGGTTTCATTTATGCTATGCCCTGCATCGTGTTCGTCTGTGTTTATTGAGCTTTCAGCGCCATGCGCTTTGCTTCGCTTTATAAAAGAGAGAGAGCCTTGTCTTGAGAGTGAAAAGAAAGGGCAAGCGATAGAAAGGATAGTCCCTCTCGCGAACGCGCGAGGGAGTTACCGAAGGTTGTTAAACTAACTCATTAGCTAGTCCAAGGAATAGAATCAGGCCTCTACCGAGGAGGTTTTGGATATTTTTTTAGATCTCCCAAAAAAGCTAGTCCTCTGAGACAGAGGGGAGATTTCGGAGATTTTAGATCTCTCATAAAAGCTAGTCGACTGAGACAGAGGATCAAAACGGAGATCTTTCAGACAGTTGAAAAACGGTCTCTGAGACCAAGTTTACTAAGCAAAAACGAAAGTTGATGCTCCTTATTTTAAGAAATCAGTCGGCTTTTTCCCTAGCATTTCTTAGTAGTTGCTGTTGCCTATATGAATTTCTATAGTTGGATTTAATATCCTACAAAAATGGAAAGTGGTTGGCCGTTCGATCGAGTCCATCCCTTGAAGTCGTACCCTCCCAGGATGCATGAGTCTTCCGCCGATTGACAGAAATGCCGATTAAGCAATTCCTCCCATCCCGATAAAGGGAGTCACCCGTGATTCGATAGTTCCATTTTCCGCTGATGCAGGCCGATTGGGATCCCAGCAGTCAAACCACTGTCTTCGTTCCTCACCCTCCTTCCAATCAAATCTCTTCTAAGGTGCCCGGAGGCAGGGGAAACAAAGGAGGGATTGATCGACCAACTTGAATAGATCCATAACCTGGTTCCATCTGTCCTGAATGAGGGAATTAAGGCGGGTATAGTCGAACTGGTTGATTCTAGGGTGATAAGCAGCTGTATCCGTATCAAGCCTACCATCTCTTCTCACGAAAGTCTTTCCACCCCGTCTCCGAATTGAAATATATGTGGCCCTGCTTCAAAGCCCATCTACACACTCCAGCTGCCTCCTTTTGAGCTAGTCAAGCAGGCGTTGAACACGGACTGAGACTCTCCCGCCCCTTCGACAGCAATTCCTGCACTTGACGTCGGATCTCCTCATTCCCAAATGGGGATAAGCGAGAAGCCGCTTTGCAGGGTAGACTCACTCCTACCTGCAACTAAATCTGCTTCTATATCCTCCTCTTAGGGGGTAATCAAGCCGGAAGAGTGTTGCAGAAAGATCTGCACTTCCCTTTTACAACATAGGAGGGAGGGGGCCTCCTTCCTAAAAAAAAAGCCTTTCCGATTGCCTCAGCCCTTATCTCTTAAAGCTACGGCATCCCACCGATCCTCGGCTCTGCTAGTTGGCTTTGCTATCAAGGCATAGCATTCTATGGACTCTTCCACCACGTCCAGAAATGCTATGCCAACACCCTTTCTCCTTAGCCAACCAAAGTCTTCTGATGG